GGAGCCCAGCTTAAGTCATTTCGCAACTTTGACGGACGATATCACCCCAAAAAACGCATTTCATGGAATTTTCATTTCGATTTTCAAAATCAACAAGGTTTGATGTACATTTTAAGCTATGATGTGTCTGGCACCTCAGAGTCCCTTTAAAAAAATGAGCGACTTGGCAAGTATGTGCGATGAATGCTGAATCAATATCGCCCATTTTCTGTAAAAATACCTTCTGTTATCGATATTCTGACCAAAACAGTGGCTTTTTCCTCGCAAACAATGTTCCATATGTTGTACAAATATTATCTAATCATTTCACAAACAATTATAAAATAAATATGACAAAATAACGAAGAAAATATGAGTATAAAAAAAACCAATCACTTGGACTTGGACTGAAAACTTTCAGGCAACATTGAGATTCGCAAGAGTGCTGAGCCGATGAAATTATGAACTTAGTTTAACTTATTATTATTTTCTCTGAGAAATAAAACTCTTATTTAAAATCTCAGTGTAATGATAATAAAATTATATATATATCTAAATTTTTAAAATTATATGTAGAAGGAATGTTTTAATTTTAGACCATTAAAAATGAACAGTTATGAGTCTAAGGCTCTGGCTAAACGAGGAAACATGTTTCCAGAAACATGTTTACCGCGCGGCGCATGTTTCCTCGATGTTTCCCAGTCTAGCCAAATGCGAAACATTGCTGTGTGCAACAAATTTTGCTTCCAAGACTCAAAAAATGTTTTTGCTGTGCGGCAGAAACATTTTATGTTTCCAAGACGCATGGAAACATTGTTTCCCGATGTTTCCTGACAGTTTTGCCACCTTAGGGAACATTTAGGGAAACATGTTTCCTCGTTTAGCCAGGGCCTAACAGAATACTCCAATATCTAGTTCGCCTTTGCTCAGTCTTCTCCTCGATTGTCTACAAGTGTGGTCTTTTCTTTCATTATAAGGTCCATTGCAGAGAAAAAAAATGTATGAACTACGGAACAATACGAGTTGATTAAAATGTGACGGGTTTTGGTTGAATAGCTGAATATTATCACACACAACCGAGACTAAGGCTGAGCAAAGAGAACTCAAAACTGAAGTATTGATCTAGTAATACTTATGTGGCGCTTGTAGATTAGCAGTGTAAATTCGAGGTCCATCCTGTAGCGTTCCTTTGCCTTGTAAAACAGAACTCTTTCTGAGAAGCGAAGTGCAACACGCACTCTTTCCTCAAGTACGGTTCTACAGCTAAGCCCACGAGTCCTGCAATGAATCCACCAACAGCGTTACCAACCGTTAGAAGACCAAACCCGAACTCTAGTTCTTCGGGGGCTAGAACTGAGGCGACAGAATGAGGCGAGTGAAGGACGATGAGGCCAGACACAAGGCCAACAGTAGAGCACAAGACAATGGCCAGCCAAAGGCCAGGAAGGAAGTGGTACCATGACTCGAACAGGAACAACATGAGCTGCAAGAGGTTGATCAGAGCGAAGATCCAGGTATGTCTACATTTTAGGAGGGAGGACACATCGACCAGAAAAGAAAAGAGGAAGAGATAGGACCTTCCAACGAATTTGCCAATTCTGTAGGCCAGGCTGTAGTACTGGTAATGGTCTCTGGGTGCAATGCCGCTTTTGGGAAATGAAATGGTGGTCACCACAGACGAGTTAACAAGATATTCGGCGAAGAAGCTAAGGGCCAGAGGAACGATGAAGGGCACTAGTTTCCACGACACATTCATTTTCTCGTTGCATCCTAGAGACGTTGATTTCTTCTTGATGGCGCGATCTTTTGAGAAATGTTCGACCTCATCCTCATCGCTGTTCTCGCCGTCAGACTCTTTAATCTTCTCGTAGGATACACGAGTGTTTAGGTTCTGTAGGGATGCAGCAGCTTCATGGACAGGCTCCTTGTCCAGCATGGCATAAAAGATCAAGTACAATATAGACCATGGGGCTGTAATCAAGATGGCTGTTCTTGGCGAGACACAGTTCCAAGTCGTCACACCTGGGGATATTTTTTTCCTTATATTAATGTTTTTTATTAAGGGAGGCAAGGGTAGTATTCACTGTGTGGATAGCGGTTCGATTCTCTGGACCCGCCATTTTGCACTAGCCAATTGAAATTCCCCTACCAACAGGACAGGGCGGGGAATACGACGCCGGCGCATCTTAAAGCTTCAGTGTACGGTCAAGTGCTAAATTTGACACTACATGAATGCAAATTTCCCCGCCCTGTCCTGGGGAGAGGGGGGTTCGATACAGCATTACATGGAAAAAAGGTTGGTTGTTGATATTCTCTACCTCGCTCCATAAGTTTTTTCTGGGTGCCCCCGTCCATTTTCCAGCCATCCGCAAAAAAAACAGAAAACAAACAAAAAAAACAACAACAACAACAAACAAACAAACAAAACAAAAGAAAACAAAAGAAAAAAAAACAAAAACAAAAACACACACACACACACACACACACAAACACAATTTTCGAATTTCAGATCTAGTATCTGGCTCGGGATATCTGAGTCATCACCCCTTGCTCTTTGATAAGATTCCTTAAGATTGTACAGCGTCAGCCACGGACAAATCATGGCGCGCCTCCGAGCGAGCATGCGCAAAATTTGAAATAGCAGCTTGTGAAATTTTGTGCCTACTGTCTCCTAATAGAGCCTATACTCACTACTGATGTCATCGTGTTGTGAATGTCCGTGCAAGGTCGTGCTAGTTCACGTAATTAAACTTTCGCAATTCATCAATACTATTTGTAATGTTAGTTTTATTTGGTCCTTCTAAACGGTAGAATGAAAGATTGTGAGATTTTTAAAAACCCTTTTTCCAACTGCAATGTAGCATTGTAATTATCGCTCACCCATTATTGGATTTTTCTTTCTGAAAATTCTAGGTTGGTTAATGAATCGATCATTCAACTTTTTATTTTATTTATTTTTTGTTTTGTTTGTTTGTTTTTGGTTCTGCAAATCCTTTGAATGTTTTACCACTTCTCAAGACGGCTGTATGTTAGTTAGACATACTCCATATCCATTCCCTGTCGACCCAACCTGCAAGACCCGGCCATGCAGACCACAGCTCTGAATCGATCTATTCTAAAATTAATTTACTAAGGAAACATGGTTTTAGGATATCGATGTTTGCTTTTTGTTTTATAAAACAAGGACCATACTTCAAGACATCGAGTGCTGAACCGTCGTATGGCAGCGCGAAGTATTTACGGCTACGCCAGAGATTTCGACCCCGACACCGCTATCCGAAGAATTACAGACTGATCAGAAAGCTCGGCCGAAGCCTAAGGGAGAGGTTAGTCGGCCCCTAGACCGTAGATGATTAACCCCTTGCTACGACCAGCAAACTCAAAATTTTGATTTCGACGCTGATGGCTTTGAACGCATACTCACTCCTTTCCATGTTGGATGCGTTTAATAAAACTAAACGGAATGTGCATCATGGTAAATTCGATCTGATTGTTTTCATCCGTCTAGAATTTTTTGAAATGGAAAAAATGGCCTTCAGTCTTTTTGACGCAGCGTTGCTATGCTACCATTATTACGTAATACGTTCCTAAGAAAATTTTAAATCTTAGATTCATGGTCTTTGACGATGTGACTGGCGTATTGAATATTAGTGTATCAGCCATCAAATTTCATTTCGATTACCCATTGATTCATGGCCTTTCAAAGCCTATACAACCACCTTAAGTTAAAGAACAAATCAGTATAAATTAAAGAGCGAGCGCGTTTGCAACACGACGCCCATGGACGCCGGGCGAAGGGAAAAAAAATAAGTCCAAAAATGTAAAAATAAATCATTCCTTTCCTGTCATATAAAACGCAGACGTTTTCTTCACACTTGGTTAGTGAACTGAAAAAGTTCAAGAATACTTTTTATAGAGTTTTAAATATATTCCACATTTTTTGTCAAGAGTGGATTCGAAAATTTGTCGAAGGAATTTGGACATTTCAAAATTATTGTATTCATTATATATAATTATTATAGTTATATTTGTGGTTTAAAAATTTTTGTTAGTAGTTTGAAATTTCATTGTCAATCGAATTTAAGAAATAAGCGATTGTATCGACAAAAGATATACAGGAAAATTGTACTGTATTTTGTCGAATCATTATAATTTTCAATCGTATCAAAAAACATTATTATTATATCAAATCCGCAAGAATAAGCCTTGAAATTAAAACCTACTATAAAATTAATGTGAACAGGTTTTCATTTATATATTTTTGTAAACACAGGTGTAGTAATGTTTGCAGTATTGGTTTTACTTAACTGACTTGGTCGAAGACGACTAGATCAAGCACAGCCCGATACAAAAGAGCAGTGAGTTGACCAAAAACACTGGACAACAAGCTGAGCTGTGCTCACCAACCCCCCAAAACAACATTCTTCGTTGCACAAAATACTCCGTTTATGAATAAAATACAAGTTTAAGCATACCTGTGTAGTATAAGGGCGCAACAAGAGAAGATATACCGGTACCAGCAACGTAGGAACTGATACAAATTTGTGGATAGAACGCTGTTAGTGACAGCAGTACTAGTTCACTTGCTCCGGTAGCCATCGCATTCAGCGCGATCCCAAACATCTTTAAACGGATATCATCCGCGTAGGCGATGATCAAGATCCCTGACATCATGAAAAGCATAATCACCAGGATTTTAAACCAATATGGAATTTTTTGGATGAACCAGGGAAAGAAAATCTTGACGGCCATCAGCGGAGTGACGAAAGTGACAAGAACCGCAGCCGTTGGAACCTTGTTACCGCTCAATATATCCTCAGCAGCGGTCAGTAACATTTCTTGGTTGAAAAAAGACAACGTCCCGAAAACCAGAAAGCAAACAATGTTAAGAGCAGAAGTTGTCTCTTTATCTGGCTTCTCGTCGTCGTATTTTCGTGGCACAAAATTACAAAGAGCTCGTTTGAGTTTTTGCCACATCGTGGGTTGATCTCGAAGACCCTTATATTTCAAACTCATGAACTATATCTCTGAAAACTAAGGTCAAAAACCTCGTCGTTACTCACGAATAGATCTTTAAGAAAAGGTTTTTATGGCCGCCATCCATGAAGCTCTCTCCTTCAGTGCTTTTGTCAAAGATTAGGCGAAGAAATTTCCGCTTTGGTTCGCACTCTAATTAGAATTTTAAATTTACAGCTGGTTTAGTCGGCCGGTAAACAAAGAAATACGTACTGTGTAAATATATGCGTAATAGATGATTTATGAATGAATTTGTACAATAACGTATATTTTTTCACGAAAAGAGCGGTCATTTGAGTTATATCAAATACCTAAAATGAAAAGACTGATTCATATTTTAGTTTTGTATTTTATTCTTATAATTTTATTCATACTTCATATGTAGTTTTATATCCTAGAAACCGGCTTATGACTCTGAAAGACAAGTAGAATTAAGATTAACCATTCCATCAACAATAAATTATTTTTCTTTGATATTTTCTTCAGTCTAATTTTCTTCTTTTTTTCTTCTTCTTCTTCTTCTTTTTTCTCTCATCATGTTGTCGTCTGAACAGAGACAAAATAGTTTTTTCTGTATAAAAATATATTCGTAACTCGATCAGATCGTCACTTTGACATATCAAAACATCCCTTCACTTTCAGAATCTTATCACATATCTTTTCGACTCAGGAAATTGCGGCGTTGCCCTGACTACCCTGCTGGTCCAGAGTCTCCTCGCGGGTTGTTGTGGAATCAAATATTTTTCTAAAGCTAAAGTTTTCTAGAGAATATAGTTCCTACAAGTATCCCTTTTCAGTATATTTGTGTCTGTCGTTTATCTGGAATGCGAAGAACAAATAAATCATGGTTTGAGTGTAGGCGACGACCCACGCTCGTCACCATGGTGGCTGGTCTTTATGACCTGTAGAGCAATTAAAAAGATAGAAGACTTGTTTTTAAAGATTAAATTCAACATTTAAATAAACTATTAACAGGTTTGTCGAGAAGAAAGTCATAAGTACGGAAGACTTTTCCATGGTTCAGAGTTAGTTTAAAAACGGACTTGAAAATTACTGTAAGTGAACTTACTACGAATGTTTTGCTTATTGAGGGGTTTTCCAGTCAAGAGTGACGTCATAACAACCAATAGAAGGCATTGACATTGGGTTTTACTACCCTGCGAGCAGAGTCTCCTTTTAGCTCCTCCACGGATAAGAGGAGCCAAACGAAGACTCTTCTCGCCGGGAAGGGTTTGACATTATGATATAAACGAAACTTTAATCGCTACGGACCACGATGCAGCATGTTCGCTATCTCACAAGAGGTCTGTACTGGTCATCCAAAAAAGGCTGTTTGTGCAACTTTCTTGAAACTCGCTGATTTTTAAAGTTATATTTTCGTCCGTTAGAAAAATTAGCTTTAAAGATTTGACGTAGAAATATTTGAGGGTCAAAACGTGTATAGTTATTCGATAAAAGGTTATTCAACGGTTTTGGTGCGCGTTCGCATCGTGGGCTCAAATCGAACGTTCAAAAGTAGGCAGTCACTTAGGACTTTCGCGGGAAAATGCGAGGTAAATGACAAATATTTCTGGGAAACTTTGCCAGTTGATAAGACAACATGCGCACTCTATTTCTTAAATGTTCAATTTTCTTTTACGATATGGCGGACCACGAAATGTCGGCGGTTGGTGTGTCGGTTGAGTCAACGACTATAGCTTTCCCAGTTGAATAATAGATGAAGTGGAGGCGGAGTATGTGGGTATCTTGGATGTAAGTTTATAATTATTTTACTTCAAAAAAGACCACAATTCTTTCTATTTTACATATGCCCACTCGATCACGTACGTACGCGGCTCTATGTGAGTAGTTTTTGCCCGCAACACGGCCGAAACTAAAGAAATAAAAGGTTTTTGTAGAGGGTGCTAATCGGTACCCATTTGTCAGTTAAATACTATTTCTTTGACCAAATTTCAGTGAATTACTAACCCCATTGGTACCCTCTGTAGGAATTTCTATTCGACTTTATGATAGCACGGAAATAAGGACGAAATATATGGCAAATCAATGTCTTTCTTTAAAAATGTAGCATTTTAGAATGATTCACTAGCTGGCAGTTCATGCGATTATATATATAGTCTGCACAGAACTCATTACTTATGAGTTTTTTTTTTTCTGATCACTTCCGTTGGAGGAATTTTTGCGTCAAAAACTCGAACATAGGCAGACATTAAATTTCACTTTTAAGAATCATCCATATGGCGATTGTGACGTCACACACAACTCACCAAAATACTTTAATAAATCAAAACACCACAAATAATATGTCAATTTTTTTATCTTCTTTTCGATAACGTTAAATTAATTAAATAAAGTCCAATTACGATGTCAAATTCTGGTTTTCTCCGTGAATTAAGGAGATATAAGGTAATATATTAGGAACTGATGGCGCTCTGCTGACGTCATCTTCTGTAGCACAGTGCGCATGACGGGGTGTCACTACATTCTTCTATTCCTCGTGCGAATATTTTGATCAGCTGGCAGTGAACTCTAGAAAAAGTAAATAAAATTGGTAAGTTAGAAGTGGCGAGGAATGTATTTTTTCGACACCATTACCATGCTTGGGTAATTTATTCACTGCCAGGTTAAGGAAAGGAACTGGGTCGAGGCGACTTTGCAGTGCATTGGACTGTCGTAGGGGACATATTTCAAGCTCCTATTTTGTTACCTAAAACGGTCCCACAATGCACGATAATGCGAACTCGACCCAGTTTTTCCTCAACCTCGGAAAAGCCAACAGCTTGCCAATAGCAATTTTGATCTCCAACGCTCTGCTCAGTCCCCTCGCGACAAATTAGTACTTAATTTTTCAATTCACCTGACGTGAACACCAGGCTCCTCCACAGGTTCACCATCAACATTCCACGTGCTTTTTGAAGCATTTCCTCGTGATTTTTTGGCGGGACCTGCTAGGATTTCCTGGTCGTTATCTCTTGCTGGAATGGCAGCTTCGTCCGTCTCATCATCGTTGGGTTCGGCGGATTGTGAAGGCTTGAAGTGAAACTCCTTGACGCGAAACACTTCCACGAAATTAAAATTAAACTGCAAAGTAAATAGAAAATCTTGTTTGACAAAATTAAAAACTTATTAGATGAAGTATGTTAATTCCTCTTTTACTCCGACGAAGGACTAGCGTCCGAAACGTCAGTTTTTTCATCTTTTCACGGTGTAAAATTTACCCTTTTATCATTTATGTTAATTGCTTACATGATTTGATCTGTTAGCAAGACTCAACATGTGCCTCAAGTACTGCAGTCTAGATGTATGTTTGACCAGGATCAAATCCATATATCCATCGGCGAGGTGAGCACTAGGGGACAGGCCTTCGGGACTTTTGGCGCATGCGCATGACATGTTGACTCCAATGACACTGATGAACCGGCCATCGATTGTTTTCCATTGAAGACCTAAAACAGAACAATTAATAAAACAATAAGGAAAAATGACCGAACTGAAAAATGTATTACGGCCAAGCAGCCCAAGAGGTAGTTCTATCATCGGGGCGATTTCTCCATCGGCTTTAACATAACCAACATAACAGCTTCTGTCCGTTGTGAATTTGATAACAGCTTCTCTTTACCTTCATTTTATTTCATGGTTTAAAAAATGTACCATTATAGAACGTCCCAAAGAGGGATTCTGCATTAATTTATACCTCTATTGGCCCTTCCGAGGTTGAGGAAAAACCTGGGTCGAGTTGCAATTGCAGTGCATTTTGGGGCTGTAGGGACATGTTTCCAAGATGGCGTCTTTTTCTTCAACGTTGGAATGGCATTTTCGAGTTCCAAATTACCGCTGTGTTTCTTGACTACAGACTCACACACTCAGGCTTACCCTCGTATCAGTGCTTAAATRTTCACAAATATCAACGGTAAAGTAAAGAATGCACAACTTCAACAATACGAACACCTTGAAATTCCACGGACCTTCACTGGAACACATCGATATTAAAATAAAATCGAGGCTAACCCTGAGCAACAGAGAACTCGAAGCTTTTAGACCCTAGTTTAGCTTGGGCGTAATGTTTCCGCCATTTCCGGCAGACCACGTGTCATTCTCTTGAGAATAAGATTCTTCGTATCCAAATTTCTGTGTCTTCTCTTTGGCAGCCGTTAAACAAAGAAATGATACTCTAGTGAATGACACGTGGTCTGAAATGAGAAATCATTACGCCCAAGGTAAAGGAATCTATACGATGCAAAAGAGACCTAAAACGCTTACAAGCGCAATAATTGTTATAAGATAGAGTTAAACATGGATGCCTTACTTGATGAGTCACTTTCTGTTTGTTTATCGGTTTCGTCAGGTGTTTCCTGAAGAAACGGATCCTTATTCACCGGGTTACATATATAACACCTAGAAAGAAAATAAAGAATACCTAAGTAAATCAGGCTTGCGGACGCTACTTGAGTGCAATTTCTAATTCACACAACTCGGGTATTGTATTCCTTTCTTCAATCGAGCCCATCCCATAATGGCACGCGTAGGAAGAGAGGAGAGAAATTGTGAAGATTCTGGTTGCCGTTTTAAAATCGAATAATTTTAACAAGAAAAGTCTAATTGCTTTAAAAAGTGTCTATACATAGTTAATATAATTAATTTTCTGTGTTATCCGTTCCTGTGGATTACACTAGCAATTTTGTCGCGCAACTTTTATATAACGATATTTGAATTCGAATGGCTGCGGTTAGCCTCTTGTTCCTAGTTCTTCTCTGTCATGGGAATTAGCACAGGGAACCCAACGGAGTACTTATAGGGTAGCCTTCGGAGGAGGCTAGGCTGCGATCTGCCGTCGCAAAATACGCGCTGGGCGCTTACATGTGCGACTTGAGGTTGCGATAAAATCAGTCAACACTTAAATCACCGCTCGAGTCGCGCGACAAAATTGCTAGTAAACAGGCCTTAAAACAAGGTTAAAATAAAATGAACCTACCCTGTCCTACAGCGGCTTTTGTCTAAGGGATGTGCCTCTAGACTGTCATCTTGAAGGAAACTAACGCTACCATCGTAGCCCCTTTGAAAGATACAAATATGAGAACTTTAATATCAAGAGATGAGATGGGTCAAAATATAGGTAAACACAATGGCTCTATCAAACCTTCGAATTTTATCGTACCCTAAAACAACCTATGGGGGGCTGATCAAAGTCAGGGCACGGCTACTGACAGATGAAATAGGAATTTAGCTTGCTAGGCTTTGTGGAGAGGGGAAAAACGGCGAACCTGAAGAAAAATCCTTGAATAAAAGGGGAGACCTAACAAACTTTACTCACGTACACTCAATTCAAAAAACGTTGTCGTCGACGAACTCAAGCCTACGCGACTGGACCGAAAGGAACTCTGGGTAGAAATCAATGAAGCCGAGGTTGACTACATAATTTTATCTGACTAGTTATGCCTGGTTTACAACACGAAACTTCGTAGGCGAGCCGGAAGTGTTGAAGAAGACGTTTTTTAATGCCTTCATATTTTCGAAATTGTGAACTGAAACTACTTTGTTTTTCTTTCCCTAAACCCAAAGACATGCATTTCATGGATTGTTTCTCGCCATTTTTATCTTATTACTACCCTGGGTGCCAGAGGCCGTGTGGGGCACCCAGGGTATCTTATTACTAGTGGGAACAATGAATTCAGAACGAAAATTAAACCGCTTCAGTGATTTTTACCCATATTCCTTTCGGTCCAGTCGCGTAGGCTTGAGCCGGTCGACGACAACGTTTTTTGGAATTGACTGTATGATGTTGTGTCAAGGAATCTAAATTTGCTAAGTTCAGTAGAGGGTGTTCTAGCTCCGTAAAGTTGTGTCGCCAGCTTACAAGTTAAGCGTCGTCGTCAAAATTTAGTGATTTGCATGGCTTATATTCGTTTGTTTCCAATATATCACTCTCAAACCTGATAAATTTACTTATTTTGAGGTGCTTTTTCTAGCATTAACGATGAATTTTTGCTAACTAGTTCATGTAAAAAGTTGTAAAAAACCATAGAAAGGTCTTTTTCCCAAATAAATGAGTTTGTTTACTTGTTTATGAAGAACTTTTTGAACCCAGAGTAGTCATAACGCTTTGGTCCCATCCAGCGGAGCTTTTCACTGTCCTGCAGTACATCTCCAAAGAAACCATACGCTGCCATGGAAACGGAATACCTTTGAACTTCTGTCTTGTGTTTGACAGAGCAGACATCCAGAGGGTGAACATCGCCTGAAATGTTTAAGAGAAAAACATATATGAAAGAATGAAAAAGAAATATGGAATGGAATGCATGGATTCCTGGATCGTTGATCTGAGGACATGGATAGGGTTAATGGAACCACAAAGACAGGGACTGCAGAGCGAGTTTTGGATTTGATATATTTCACAAGGTTCGTGCTACATTTTCGTTACCAAATTCAAGGACTTTTTAAGCACTTTTCAAGCACAAAAGTTCGATTTTCAAGGACAAAGTTTTTTGTATTAGAACGTGGTTTAAACATTGATTCAATGTTGCAGTGCAGCTAATTCAGCCGGGGCCACTAGCTTAGATAAATAGATCCTTAATATACGCATTCTTACCAGAAGTACCCAGATATTCAGCTAGGCTATTTAAGAAGTATACGCAAACTCTTCAATCAATTCTAATCGTTATTTATTTCAAAAGGAAAGTTAGAAATAGCATTAAGTATGCATTAAATTCAAGGAGTATTCCAGGAGTTTTGGCGTTTTCCCCTATTT